TCCAGTAGGAAGAGGCAGTTCCAAGCCAAAGTATGCAATCTAAAAAGATAGGATGAGAAGTGGAAGAAAAGATATTCCCACTTTTACAGATTGGAAGCCATGGCACTGACTGATTAAGGATTTTTTTAATGACCAGCCAGATTGCCAGTAGTCCTGTTAGATTTGTTTTGAGACCTCATCTACTGATTCCCAGGGCAAGGACTATAAAAAACCCACATTTCTTTCTCGTCACTGGCATAAAACTTGAGTGACTTTTTGAAAAGTGCAGTGCACATAGATTACAGGTGACCAGCACAGAGCTGGGGCAAGGAACAGCTTCTGAATTGCTTGTGTGGAGGCTTTGAGATTTCAAACCAAATACTAGGCATTGCATGTGCTTTATTGCACAGACGTATTATAGAACACCCCTCTGAAATATATACCTTGAATTCAGCATCACAGCATGCTTTCCAAATCACCAGGACCATAAGAATCTGTTTGAAGCTGATTTAATTTGCCTAAATTACCTCTCTTGTCGAATGCCTGCAGCCATGAACTCTTGCCTTAGTGAAGAAGCTTTGTTATTATGTTGGATTGTGTTGACACCAGAAACTATTAGTCCTTCCTTTGAAATGAATTCTTTTATGTCCAGAAAATGCTTAGATTGAAGAAGTGGACTGTGGTTTTCCAGTGCTTGTGGGTGATAAATCTGCAAATAGAAAAAGAGGAGAAGGTGTTATTAACAGACTTAAGCCAGCAGGGTAGGCCAACTGGTGCTTTCCCCAAATAAGTAAGTTCCTCAGGCATGTCATGAATTAATTGTCTAAGGTAGAATAAAGCAGGTTTAATTATGAATACTTTTCTGAGTAGGGATGTTGCAATTAGTTATTTTTGAAAGATGTCTTCATGGGGCAATTTAAATACTAAGTATATCTTATTCCCGACTGCTATTCAAAGTGTTAGTTTGCTGTTCTCCGAGTCAGTTCTTACTGTGTAGTTTGAAGATTGAACAGCATGGTTTTTCTCAGGTATGTATCAAACATATAGAAAAAAAAGGTCTTTTGTAGTAATTTTTATAAAGACAGTTTCCTGTTGCAAAGCTAAGATACACAGGTAATTTTGTTATATCTAACAAATAGCAGACAAGAAAATATTATTTAATGATTACTATTGAAAATGTTGAAATTGATAGTGGCAGTTTCTGTAAGAGCCCAACAGGTTTTCAGCAAAAAATAAAAGTAGGTGCACAACTTCACAACATCTTCCTGTTCCTTACTGAAAGATGTCTGTTGCTCCAAAGACTGTTAAAAATAAGTCCAAAACCTAAACCCTTAACAATACTGGACACAGTGCATGTGTACCCTCATGTCTACCACTGTGGATATGCATATGTACCCATATTTCACAAGTTTGGGGGTTTTTTTAGGTGATAAAGACCCAAACAATATGTCTGTGATTTTCTTCTTTAAAACAGGAAAATATTAAAGAATCACTGCCATGAATCACCGTTTGGAACTTTGTTGTCATTTATTGCTCTATATCGTCGTTCTTCATTTCCCACCACTAATTGGCCTTTGCTTCTGTCTCTGTTTCTACACATTTGTGCTGCTCTGCACTCTGGTTTTCTGACTCTCTGGTTGGGACTTGTCACTTCTCTGAAGGTCTCTGCTGCTCAGTAGTTGCCTTCTCAGTCTGTCAGGGTGGTAGAGCCTTTTGTGTCCACTCCTCTCAATTTAACTTTATTCTTCTCCTGCAGTCCTTACAGCTCTCAGGTTTCTGTATGGTTTTCCATTTCTCATTCCAGACAGCTATTATATTTTGTGGGTTTTTTTTAGTTTAGTTTCTTTTTTTTTTTCGTTTTTGCTCCTGCAAAATAGCTTAATTTTCTACTTTACTAATGAACTATGGACTTCCTTTTATAACTCTGTGAAGAAATATCTGTGCATGGTGATTTCTCCATAGAGAAAGTGGAGGCTATAAATATGGAAATATCCCTTTTGGCTTTACAAAGTTTAATTGCTTTGTATATTATGCAGATTCTAAGGCTGAAAAATCTGATGAGAGGAAGTAACACATTTGTCTATTCACTATCTTAAAAATGCAGGCAGATTGCTGAGGAGTATGCCAGTTTTTTGAGTTTGCAGGTTTATGTCTTGTCGCTGTTATTACAGAGTGTGTAGGGTGCTTGCACGGCTGAGGTTCTTCACCGAATACAAACAGCATGTTTCTAAACTGTGCATTTCTCAAAGCCTGTGAAAAGCAGTTGGAGCAGCTGCTGCTGCCACCCTTGTACATGCCGAGATCACAGGAATCAGAGCTGGAAGGGACCTCAGGAGATGAACCAGTAAATCGCTACCCTAAAGCAGGATCAGCTAGTTCTGAACATTTCCCAACAGTCACAGAATTTTTAGCTTGAGGCAATAAATCAAGACATTCTCATGCTGTGTTTGATACTTTAAATGATTTTTCTTTTATTGGTGAAAGTATAAAACAGAGGTGTAATCCAGGATATTTCACTGTGATGTCTGAAAATTGTTTGTTTGGTTGGGTTTTTTTTAAAAAAATATATGTGCTTATGGTATCTGCAAAAGGTCTGGACCCTGAAGTCAGTAGTTCCTGGCAATGTTAGGGGTGTAAGATAGGCACTGAAATGCCTCACAAAGTTAAGAGTCAGTATAATGCTTCAAGCACTTTCTCTGCTCTCTTGGTTTTTCTAGTGACATTAGAAGAAGGACTAACCCCTGAACACCCCGTCAGAAGTGCAGGCTGCTATGTTTTAGCTATCTTTGAGAGAGAGAGAGATTTAGATGTTAATAACTAGGAGTCTTCCAGTGTCCTAGTTTCAAGGATCACCATATTCAGAGAGATGGTGTGCTTTGATCTGGCCACTTGCCTTGAAGTTTTTCTTCACTAGAGGCAAATGAGAGAAAAAAGAAAGCAAAAGTATTGATTTGCAAAATTCAAATTAGACAACATAGATACAGAATTTCATGAAGGAAGATGGAAAGAAAGGAAATTCAAATTGTTCATGTATTCCTTAGAATAGTTCAAAATATGTCTTAATTTTAAGATCCATCTTACAGGCTGTTAAAATATTCAGAATCCTGTGGCTGAGTAGCCATTTCTGCATGGATCTAACCCACTTTTTGTGTACAATTGGAATCTCTCCGGGAGTAACTTGTACCCATTACCCTTCCTCTTTTCCATGTAACTCTTTGTAAAAAGGGGGTCTCCATCATCTATGTAGCCATCCTTTAAATACTGGAACATGGTTATAAGGTCTCTTCTAAGCCTTCTTTTCTCAAGGCTGAAGAAGCCTGGTTCTCTCTGCCTTTCTTCATATAGCAGCTGCCCAGCCCTTTGGTCACCTTTGTTACCCATCTCTGGTTCCTCTCCAGCCTGTCCACATGTCTTTTTTATAGTGGGGACAAAACTGAACACAGTGTTCCAGGTGTGACTTGACAAGAGCTGACTAGTGGGACAATGACAAATGTCTACTAGGGGTGCCCGTGTTGATACCAACCAGCATCCAGTTGGCTTTCTTTGCTGCAGCTCTATACTGTTCACTCATGTTGAGCTTGTTGTCCATGAGGACCCCCAGGTCCATTTCCACAGAGCTGCTGCCCAGCCAGGTAGATCACAGTATGTGCTGCACTCCTGGATTATATTTTCCCATATGCAAGACCTTACACTTGTCCTTATTGCACTTCATAAGACTCTTGCTAGCCCAGTCTTCCAGCCTATCCAGGTCTTCCTGCAGGGTGGCTCTCCCTTCTGAAGTGTCCACTTCCCCACTCAGTTTGGTATCATTGGCAAACTACGTCAGGGCACACTTGATCCCATCTTCCAGATCACTTACGAAGATAATAAACAGCATTGGACCCAATATCAATCCCTGAGGGACCTCACTTGTGGCAGGTTACGAGTTTGAAAGGAGCAATTTAGCACCATTCTCTGGGTGCTTCCTGCCAGCCAGGGCCTCGCCCACATTGGTCTAGACCACAACAACATAAATTTCTCTAGGAGGAGACAGTGGGAAACTGTATCGAAATCCTTGGAGAAATGCAGGTAGTCAATGTCCACTGCTAACCCCACATCAACCAAGCAGGTTACTTTGTTGTCGAGCACAATTTGCGTTTGGTGAATTCATGCTGGCTTTTCCAGTCACGTTTTTGGACTTCATGCTGCCTTGGAGATGACACTTCCTATATTGATGCAGAGGCATTCGATAGGGCTCCCACAAACATGGAGTGTGACTCCTTCTCTTCTTCCCCGCCTCTCTTTATCAAACAGCCTATAGTAGCCACCCATTGTGATCCTTCAGTCATGTGATTTGTCTCACCATGTTTCAGTTATTCCCATTATATCATAACTTTCTGTCTGTGCACAGAGCTCCAGTTCCTCCTGGTTGTTCCTAGGGTGTGTGCGTTGAGGTGGCTGGTGTTCTGGTTCTCATCTTGGGAGGCAGCTAAGGGACATTTGTTGCTGCTCTGATTGGCCTGGCTTATTCCCCAGCTGATTGCAATGGTGTGTGTAGCATTGCCACTTTGGACTCTCCGATTCCCCCGAGTTCTTCAGTTTAAAACCCAGCTCACCAAGTTGGCCAGTTTGCTGCCAAAGATTCTTTTGCCTCTTCTAGGGAATCAAGAAGAGTTCATAATATAAAAGGGACCTTGTGTAGACCCAGCTCCACAACTTTGTGTTGTTTAGAGCTCTTTCTGGATTTAACTGTTATTCCTTGGTAATTTACAACAGAATCTTATGTATATATAAACATAATATTTAAGTTGTACAAACTGATGCTTTATTAAAATCTCATTTAATTTTCCTGTATGTTGACTCTTTATATACATTGACCAAGCTATTTAATACACTAGTACTTCAACATTTTAAATTGCGTTACTTTTTAATATTTAAAAATAATATATGATTTAATGGAGATAGTTATTAATACAAAGATGTAAAACATAGGTTATTGTGTTCTAATCTGTCAAAAAATAACAAAGTCTTTTATCCACTAGGTGTTAAGAGTGTACAAAGCTGCAGTACAACAGACTTTGGATATACTCTTTCTCCCTGAAGGAAGAGAGTTTCTTACAAGCACAGATGCAGTAAGCCGGGACTCAGCTGATCGTACCATCATTGCATGGGATTTCCAAAGTGCTGCAAAAATCTCCAACCAGATTTTTCATGTAAGATTAACAACTAGTATTGTTTAGATCATGTTTTAGTATTTCGTGCTTGTCAATGTAGTAAGAAAAACCTTTTGATTTTCAATAAGATCATTGTATGATGTATAAGATGCTCTTCATGTAAGTTGATGACTTGCTTTGTTTTCACATGTAGCTCTTAATTGTTCTTAAAAAATGACCTTGAAGACTGAGAGATCTCCTCCTGTTTAAAATATTTACATTTCAATGTTAATTCACTGACATCTGAGCTATATTTAGGCAAGGACTCTGCAGTGTCATTCTCGTTTGCCAGTGGTACATGGCAGGAGTTGCTATAGTGCCACATTTCTTTTCCCACACTATTTCATACATTTTTCATCAGCTGCACTGAGGGCTATTGAGAAGTTGAGTTTAATATTCACATAGTAATAGCAACCTGATACATGCATACAGATACCTAGTACAGCATAATCACAGAGGCAAAATTTGCATTTATCAGTGCAGGTGCAGTGTTTCTCTCAGTCATCTATCCAAGCAAGACATTTAACGGACTAAATTGTCTAGAAAGACTAATGGCTTCAAAGGAGATTACCAAGGAAGTTAATAGATAATTTCAACTCCCTGGGTCTTTTTTGGTAACCCAAGGCTAATATCCTATGTAATATAATATGATTGGATTGTATATAGATGCTTTTTGGCTAAAATGAACAGTTCTCTGCTGACAAAGACATATAGTTGATGATTTAATGGGATTGTTTCATGTTTAATTTCCATAGTTATGTCTTTGTCTTTGGATCTATCAACATCTTCAATAGACAATAGGAAGAAAAAAAATCCAACTGTGAATATATAAATTACAGACCAGACAGGTTCAGCATCAAGGAGCAACAAATAAATAAACAATCTGCCCTCACCCCTTCTCATGACTACAGCATCTCTGAAATAGACTTCTCACCTGCACCCCCTTTTCTGCACTGTGAATAAACAAAACTTGGTAATGATTTTGCACACTCTGCTTCACTCTTCTGAATTTCACCGTTGAAACCTTCTCCCACCTTCGAGGTGGGAGAAAACCCTTCATCTCTCCAAATAGAGTAGATCCCAACAGGACTTGATCTATTGCTTGTCTGCATTAACAAATGAATAGTTAAGAGCTCTAAGATAATCCATTACTACAGCATCCCCAGCATGACAGCACAGTGCTCCTGCAGATTGCATTGTGCTTTCTGATCCCATACTGTTAGCCCCAGTTTCTTCCTGGAAACACATGCAGTGCATTGTGCCCAATACCTTATAGTACCCAGAACTTCCTTCCCAGTCCTTCACTTCCAAATCACACTACAAAACCGGTCTGATGTTCTTCCTGCTCTACCACATAGCCCGTGGTGTCCAGTGGTCACTGTCAGCCTGGTATTCTTCACATGCTGATGCATCCCACTTAATTCGTATTCATGGTATCAAAATTCAGCACTGTATCTTTAGATTAGGCTGAAACTAGAAGAGGTTTGGACCTAGTAGTGGAAGCCTTGTGAGAGCAGTTGATTTCTGATGGAGTCCCCATGCAGAGTTCTGGAAGTAATCTTAATTCAGTCTTAAATAGGAACTCTAGAGTAAAACCAAGTCTTATTAATTATTGCAGATATTTATGAATTTACAGCCAGCAGCAGCCTACATCACTGTCATAAGAAGGCTAATAATGATCCTTTTTATTCTTTTTTTTTATAAGAGTGAGGTGAAGAAATGTGTCTCTTTCCATGAGGTAGTTTCTGTTCCTGTCAGTGTGGCCAGAACTGAGAGGATGGAGGATTCGAGAACTGTACAAAGTAGCATGGAAAGCACAGTATGACTGTGGAGGAAGGGATATGGGAGAAGAGGATTCACTTTCATGTTCAAACTTTGGTTTTCCTTGGCAGGAAGAGGATGATTGAGAACCATCTGGTTGGAATTATCTTTCTTCAATTATTCTGCAGTATAATTATGGTTTAGAGAGATATGGGATTTTGGTCAATATCTGGGAAATTGAGGTAGAGATTTGATTTAGCATTTGTCTTGATGTAAGACTTGCAGTGGTTTGTAATGAGTTAAGTAACTTTATATAATGTATGCTATGGAAAGGAGACTTATGTATAAGACTTTTGCCTTTTATGGGCTCTCAAATATATCAAAAGATAACTTGAATCATTTGAGCAAATCTTTTGTTTCATACAACAAAACTTTCTTTAAAATTATTTTCAGGAGCGTTACACTTGCCCAAGTCTGTCTCTGCACCCAAAAGAGTCTATGTTTGTTGCTCAGACAAACGGGAACTACATGGCTTTGTTTTCTGCACAGCGACCATACCGGATCAACAAAAAGAAAAGATATGAAGGACATAAGGTATCCTTCTTCACCAGGAACTCAGTATCCAAGTTTAAAAGGAAGATAGATAGCAAAGTACCTCTGCTTCTTAATATATCTGCTAATAGTGTTTTATTGTAAATCAGTGATAGATATTAATTGGGTTCATTTGCTTTCCTGTGTGCCAGTGTATTTTGAATCATATGCAGTCTGAAGAAAATAGTTATTACAAGACTTTATGAATGCTTAATAGCTTGATTAAACAAGTTTGTAGTGTAGCTGTGTCTTAATAAACACCTGGAGAAGTCTTTAGTGTATATTTATTTAAAGATACTTTTTTTTGGTACTATATTAATTTTCAGTATACCACAATGAACTTTTCTAATCAGCATCAAGAATTACACTGTTATTGATTTTCACAGGTGGAAGGATTTGCAGTGGGCTGTGAATTTTCTCCAGATGGAACACTTTTGGTGACAGGAAGTTCAGATGGCAAAGTGTTTTTCTACAACTATCATACTTCCAGGATTATTCGCACTTTGTCTGCACATAAAGAAGCTTGTGTGAGTGCAATATTTCACCCAGTCTTGCCATCACTCCTTGCAACCTGTGATTGGGCTGGAGAAATCAAGATCTGGCAATAACAAGGAGGGTTAATTTTCAGGATGTCTTCTGTTAGTCTGTTAAAGGCTTAGGAAATAAACCAGGTTATGCAATGTGAATTTTTGTTGTGATGTGTTGTAAGCAGGAGATACAGTCTTTTCTTCTATGACCTCTAAGTGTATGCTTTCATAATGCAGTGAAGATGGTCTTGTGGTTAACTGCTGAGCAAAGAAGTGGTCCTACTCTCTTCCTCAGCCCTGGTGGCAAATTTCTGACCCTTTTGTGTCAATCTTCTGGTGCTCATCTAATCCAACCCTGGTTTGAGTGCCTAAACTTAAGAAAATTATTGCTCTTATTATGTTATCTTTTCAATGCAGTTTTCTTAAACCAGGTTTTGTCATAGAATCATAGAATCATTTACATTGGGAAAGACCTTTAAGATCATCAAGTCCAAATCTTATACTCAGGGATGCAAGGAGGGCCATCAATAAAACCTCTATGCTGGACTTCCAGAGGGCAGATTTCGGCCTATTCAGAAGACTGGTTCAGGGTGTACCCTGGGAAACAACCCTTGAAAACAAAGGCGTCCAGGAGGGATGAACATGCTTCAAGAAGCAAGTCTTGAACACACAGGAGTGGGCTCTCCCAGCAAGCCGGTGGGGAGATTTTGAAGGAAATTAGGGTAAAAAAGAGAGCTTACCGATTATGGAAAAAAGGCTGGCTACTCAGGAAGAGTTTAGGAATGTAATTAGGTCTTGTAGAAAGAAAATTAGAGAGACGAAGGCACAACTTGAACTTAATCTTGCCACTTCTGTTAAGGATAACAAAAAGTCTTTCTACAGATACATCAATAGCAAAAGGAGGGACAAGGAAAACCTCCATTCTTTATTGGACATGGGCGGGAAGATAGTTATCAAAGATGAGGAAAAGGCTGAGGTACTTAACACCTTCTTTGCCTCAGTTTTCAACAGTAAGACAGGTTGTCCTCAGGACAACTGGCCTCTGGAGCTGGTAGCCCCTCTGTAATCCAGGAGGAAACAGTTAGTGACCTGCTGAGACACTTGGATCCCCACAAGTCTATGGGACCAGATGGGATCCACCCAAGGGTGATGAGGGAGCTGGCAGAAGAGCTCACCAAGCCGCTCTCCATCATTTACCAACAGTCCTGGCTCGCTGGGGAGGTCCCGGATGATTAGAAGTTGGCAAATGTCATGCTGATCCACAAAAAGGGCTGCAAGGAGAATCAGGGAAACTACAGGCCCATCAGCCTGATCTCAATGTTATGGGGCAGATCATCCTAAGTGCAATCACACAACACATACAGGATGGATAAGGGATCAGACTCAGCCAGCCCAGTGTTTAGGAAGGGCAGGTCCTGTCTCACCAACCTGATCTCCTTTTATGATCAGGTGACCCACCTGGTGGGTGAGGGGAAGGCTGTGGATGTGTCTACCTGGACTTCAGCAAAGCCTTGGACACCGTCTCCCACAGCATACTCCTGAAAAAGCTGCAGCCCACGGCCTGGACAGGGGCACTCTGTGCTGGGTTAGGAACTGGCTGGAGGGCCAGGCCCAGACAGTGGTGGTGAACGGGGCTGCATCCGGTGGGCGGCCGCTCACTAGTGGTGTCCCCCTGGGATCAGTGTTGGGCCCAGTTCTGTTTAATATCTTTATTGATGATCTGGATGAGGAGATTGAGTGTACTATTAGCAAATTTGCAGATGACACCAAGCTGGGGGGGAGTGTCGATCAGCTGGAAGGCAGGAGGGCTCTTCAGAGGGACCTGGACAGGCTGGACAGTTGGGCTGATTCCAACGGGATGAGGTTCAACAAGGCCAAGGGCCGGGTCCTGCACTTTGGCCACAACAACCCCCTGCAGCGCTACAGGCTATGCACAAGAAGGGGGAAGATCACAGGGCAGATGGGACTGCTTCTTCTGGGTATGGTAGTCTCTTATCAGCTCAACTTGCTGTAAAATGCCTTCTGAGGGTTTTAGGAAAAGGTGTGGCAGATGACTTGAACCAAATATTGAAGTAAATACATTTGTGTTTTTGAAATCCCGATGTTTAAACTTGAATGTACGACTGTATATAAACAAAATGAAACTGTGTACAAATATTTTTGAGGAACAATAAACTTTGTTTTAATACATTATGTATCTATTAATTAGTTTACTGCTATTATTCTTGACAAGTTAGTACACAAAACTATAGTGGAATTGATGCTTAGGGGGGGAAACAGTTAACATTACACTAATTTATTGCAAACACATGCATTTCTCCATACTTATTGATGTCACTTAGACACAGAAAATTGTCCTCATACTACTCAGTGCAGGGGATGGTTTTTTGATGTTCAGACAGGAGCTTGGCAATTCTGCAGCAAATAGAAAGTTCATTAGGCCATCATTGTGTATTTAAATTGTAAATACACAATGTTTGTATGTTTGTAAGTTTGTGTTCCCTGCACTGCTATTGCTTGGTTCTAGAAAATATTTTATATGCGTGTGTGTTTGTCTATGAAAAAAAAAGTCTATACATCACATAAAATACGTATTCCTGACCTTGGCTCCCTATAAACATGTTCACCTTGTAGTGAGTGCCGTAAGCGTGGCTTATGTTTGGTCTGGTTAGTCTATAAAAGCATTTTAACATAAACAGGATAATTGGGTTGAGTAAATTGTGTCTGTCATGAAACCCAGAAGCCATGTATAGTAGCAACTTTTCCATCCTTTTATTCTTCTTTTCGCAGTCTGGACCAAGATATTGTGGCTGCATGGTTTTAATCCTCTTATCAACAGTTATGATGGGTCTTAACACAGGGCATTAAATTTAAGTGAACCATGCAATCTAGCAAAAGCAATTTTTTTTTACCCAAGACTGTCCTTAATTTCTTGCTTCCTTTTTCAGCAATTAGGTGTTTGAAAGGAGCCTGAATTCTGCACTTCCCTTGACTCTGCCTCTAGTATACAAGTCAGCTGTACCTTTAAATGAAAACTGGTTCAATGATTTTGAGTTATTCCTAATTCAGATTGTGGGATCTTCATAAATGTCAGAAGGAGATGAGCTGGAAGTGAAGTAGTTGTTGGCACAACACTGGGCAGGTGGAATCCCAACTGCACGGGACTGACTCTGTGTCCTTCCCTACGGGTGTTTTAGTTCAAAATGTGCTATTGTCATTTTAAAACTTCTGGCAGCCAGGTCTGTCTGTATGAAGGATGGGCAGCACTGTAATTGTTCCTGTTGCATCTTAGTGTCTCCATAGGAGATGATTTGTCTGTTATTTTATTAAATACAAAGTTTAGAAAGGCCTCTGAAATAAATGTGAATTCATGGTAGAAATGCCTTATTGGATGAAGCCTGATCTTATGTGAACTCTGCTCTGTATTGAAGGAGCTCTCAGCACCTTCAGCCTCAGCTGAGAGCATGTCTGTGTAAAGTCCTGAAAGAAAAGTACTTGGTAATCATTACATATATTGCTTAGAAAAGTAGCTGCATTTTATAAGATTACCCTTGTTGTTGCTTAAGTTCAGCTTGTGTTCTGAGGCATGATTCTGGTGTCTAGCATTTACCCCTCCTGACATTATATAAAAATTTAGACTGTTTGTTGGTGGAGAGGGAGGGAAAACCTTAAATTTGATTAAAGGCAGTAGAGAAAAGTAAAAGAAACTTGAAACTTTATAATCTTAAAGAATATTAAAATTAGAATTGCATTTATGTCAGATTTCCAAGATGGCTGGAGTTTAATTACTTATGAGATCCAGCCAAAGGTTTTATAGTGCAATGAAATTATTTTCACAGCATTATCTTGTTAAAATCTCTTTCTAATATAAAACTGATTAAGACACAGACTGAAATTTAGTAATTGGAAATATTTTAGAATAGTAGTGTCAATTAAGTTTTCGTTATGATTCAAAGACAAATTCTTCCTTGTTATCTTATGTAATGAACTGTAATCAAAAAATATCCACATTACTCCATCATTCTGCAATTATCAAATACTGTTTGGGCTGCAAACAAGGATTATTACGGTCAGATGAAGCTTTTAGAATGTAATGAATTGTTGGTTAATTAATTTTATTCATAAAATTGTAATCTAGAAATTTTTGAATCTTGCTTTAGGAGCAGTTCTTTTAGCTTTATTTAGAGCTCTCTAGGGCATCATCTGCTAGAGCCAAGGCAGAGATCTCCAGCATTTTGAAATAGTCTAGACTGTGTAGATAAACAAGCCAGATTAATTTTAATTTATTTTGTACTGTACCAAAAAGTAATAATGCCAATCTCTACCACTTTATTATTTGCTACTGGAGCGTTATTAATTTGGAGTGTCAGAGGATGCAAGCTATTCAACTGTCTTTATCTCAAAAACCTGCTAATTAGGAGACAGCCATTAGAATCGTTGTGTTCACTCAGCTGAAATACTGTTGGTGAGTCACTCTATATTTCAGTTATAGGCCTCATCATGAAAATAAGGCGTGGCATTACAATGGGATGGCTCTTTCCATAGGGGACAGGCAAATATAAAGCTACAAGACTGTGGCAAAACTGAACAAAACAGGAAGATAAAAAAATTGGGGATCTCACGTTTCCCATTATCCTTATCTATTGGTTTGGACTGCATTCAGCTGAAAATACTTGCTCTGCTTTCTTCAGCTAACTTTGATCTTGTTCTCTTAATCCCAGCTCCTCCTAGCCACTGCTCGCATCCTCACCATTTCATTTTCAGTTTTTCTGTCCTTGTTTCAGCACATTGTCTTCTGCATTTAAAGGTATAGTAGTCTATAGGCTTACACTACACTCATCTTCTCTCTTTTTTTTTACTGTGCTCTGACTTGAGGCTTTCAGGCTTTCATTCCAGCTGTCATTAGAAAGGTAGGCAGAAATCCCAGAGCACTTTGTGCTCCATTCTTGCCTGTTTTCCAGTTTTAATGAGGCTTACTACTTTTAGAGATTCTCTGCTCGCTCTTCCCCTCTATTCTGTCTGCTTCTCTTTCTATCTTTGATTACTGCTTTAGTGTCTTGCAGATCCTTTCTATTATATCAGCTCCTACAAGGTGTACCTTGTCAGGACTGCACTTTTTCCAGAAAAACCCCAAAAACCCAAACCAAAAAAATCCTACCCACCAACCCTCAGAGTTATTGCCACTTACAATGCTTTGGTTCACAGAGCATGCAAACTGCATTTCCCTCAAATGAGCTTAAATGAGGAGATGTTCTCCAGGACCATATTTTACATATGCCAGCTGGTGGGACTAGACTGGAGATAGTTCAGAGTACGCCCTACTCCCCCAAATGCATGTAGTTTAGATGCTGCAATTTCAAAAGTGAGACAAACTCTACATTACTCCTGTTGGGCCTTGCTACTTGCAAACGTAAATGTGACCTCAGGAGTTCCAAAGAGCTTTTGGCACTTTCCCCTTTCTTTGATAAAGCTCTTACCCCTCTCTTCGTGACTCACTGCTCTATGCAGAGTGG